AAGCCAACAACTTCTTCGCCCGGACGCTGCGGCACGTCCGCCGGACGCCACTGAAGAGACGGGGCAGTGGGGGCCAGGCGGGGGCATCGCCTGCCCCGCCAGCCATCTCGCCCATCATCAAGAACGCCATCTCCCTGCCGCAGCTCAATGAGGGGATGTATGACGGTGGAAGTGGACACGGCCTGACCAGCAAGTTCTCCTTCAAAAGTGCATCGAACAGGTTCTCCAAAACGCACCAGGCCTACGGTGAGTGAAGCACAGGGCAGAGGCTGGCACCCAGGTACTGTGCATCCTCTGCAGCCCTTCTCCATTGCTCCATGCCTCGGTTTCCTCCCCACTGAGGGACTTCAAGCTCTCAGGAGAGATAGAACATTTAAGAGTCCTGAGTCCTGATAATCCCTGTGAGCAGATAACCTTAACCTTGCTCTGAACCATGGTCCTTGCTCCTGCCCTTGGAGGGTCTCCTCCCAGGGTGTCCCCCAAAGTGGGGCATGGATGGTTTCTCTGTTTCTCCCTCTCTCACATAGCCCCACACAACTGGCAGCCTGTGTGGAGTAGTTTTAAGGTGGTGACCCCCAACTACCCCCAGACCTACACCTTTACCATGAGCAGCCTCCCTGAGGAAGATAAGAGGATGCTGGAACAGTGGAGCAATGCCCACTCCAAGGTTATAAGGTCAAGGCATGGCCATGGCCTTCCCCACCTCCACACAGCCCCTTGCCTGGCAGTGCCAACCTCTGCAACTCCATGTGCTGCTCCTCACAGGACTCCATCCTCCCTTCTCCACCTTGCCCACAGCCCTCCCTGCCAGCCAGGGTCTCCTTTAGGGAAGGATTGTGGAAAGGATAGGACAGGACAGCTGTGTGGCTCCTCTCCAGCCTCACAGCACTGGGCTGTGGCTCAGGTTTTCCCCAGGGAGGGAGGTCTGGAGCAGAAGGTCTTGGGGCTGGGGGGTTGGATCTGGGGGGGCCTGCAGCAGCCTGGGGAGGTGGCCTGGCTCAGAGGGAAAGGCAGGCTGAGGCAATGCTGCCATCTCCTGGTCCCACCTGCCTGGCTCAGCCCCCACTGCCATCTTACCAAGCCCAGAGTGCACCTGGATACCCTCCACTGTACTCTGAGCTTTGGAGATGTCCACAGAGACAACTGGCCTGTCCTTTAGAGGCCAGTGCCACTGACGGGAGCGTGACCTGCGCCACTGTAGTGGCAATGTTCCCTGTCCCTGCAGAAGTAAGGCAGGCTTCCTCCCACCAAGCCGTCCCCTCCCCTCACCAACCATCCCTTCTGCTTCACAGGGCTGGAGTCCGGGTTTTGTACCATCCCTCGTGTCCCTCGCTTGGAAAAGCCCCAAGAGAGCACCTTTCCTGGGGAAGATGAGCTGGATCGCTCAGACTCCTTGCTGTCCTTCCGCCTGGACCTGGGGCCCTCCCTGATGAGCGAGCTCCTCCAGGTGATGAGCTTCTCTGAAACCAATGGGAATGAGGTGGGGGAGGATGGCCCACACCTCTTGTGTGGTGAGGGGACCAAGGACAGGGTCCCTCCAGCAGCGAGTGCATCCCACGAAGAGGACAAGTCAACATCCAGCTTCTGGGACCACTCCAGGCAGAGCAACCTGTCAGGGGCCAGCTCACTGCCAGGTCTGTCAGTGCATGCCAACGGAGAGGCACATGCCATCGAAGGTGCTGAAGCGGACTCTGTGTGGGCTTCGGGGCCCGGAGCAGTGCCCAGAGGGACCCCGTGGCAGGGGCACTGGAACGACTGCACCATTGAGGCGGGAGAATTTGACCGAGCGACCCAGGTCCTGGCCCGCCATTACGGTGGGACCAGCACCCCACGGAGCTCAGAGAAGGGCGAGGGTCCCCGGCAGGCCCGGACACAAACCCTGTGGGAGAGCCCCAGCAGCATCTTGTGGCGGTCACAAGTGACAAGGGAGAGCCAGTCCCCTGAAGCCAGCTGGAATCAAGGAGAGGAGGAGGAGGAGGAGGAGACCAAGCTCTCCACCCGGCAGGAAAGCTACACTGGTGCCCGAGGTGGGCATAGCAGTTCCTTTGAGTATGCCAATGAGGAGGAAGAAGATGATGAAGTCAAGGTGTGAATGGCCATCCCTCCCATCGCAGGCCCCACCAGAGACACTGGTGCTGGGGTCTTTGCCCTCCTCCCCGTGCCCCACCCTCAGGTGCCAATGTCACCGGCAGACGCAGTGGGTGACCCCCTCACCAAGCTGGGGACACTGGGCAGGCTGGAGAGGGGCAGGAAGAGAGCCTATCTCCTGGGGGGCTCCCTAGGGCTGGGCCAGGCTGCTGCAGATGGCCAGTGAGCACTGCAGTGCCAGGCATCATGCCCCTTCTCCGGCCTCACTGCCATTAGACACCAAAGAGACATTCCCATGTGCCAAAGAAACCCCAAACTCCTTCCTACCCCATCCCATTCTCCCCAGTGCCATCTCTCCCAATCCTCGGCCTGACCCCACCAGCATGTCTGGGGACATACCCCATTCTCCCCCTGAAGCCCCCAACCACTGCCTGCACTGGGGTGCAGTGCCCTGGGGTGCCCTCCCAGAAATATTCCCACCCATAGCTCTGGCACATAGGGGATGGGGATCTCCCCAGCTCCAGCTAGTGCAAGACCCTTCAGTATAGCACGTCTATCTGCTAGGGGAGGTCAGCTGGGGACCCAAGGGTCATGCAAAGACCTGAGGTTCCTCTTTTTCCCTTTCTCCCAAAAAGCTGTGTGCTCACTATTCAGGAGGTGAGAGCATGCACAGAGATAATTGCAGGGGTCTCTCCACTTGCCTCCTGCTTCTGGGCATCACTCAGGATGCCTCCCTTCCTGACCCCAACCCCTCTCAGTGGGGAGGGAAGAAATTTCTTGGCTGGCTGGAGGCAGAGGCAGGTTATCAGGTCACCAAATTCTGCAGTTCAGATCCTGAAACTGTCTTCCTTTCCCCTGCCTCAGAACAAGGAGACTCCTCCTCTGAAGCCACTTGGTTTGTCTCACCATCCTCGTGGTGGTGGCAGGCAGTTTGTGCCTCCATCCTTGCCCCTCTCCCCATTCACCACGTGCACACCCCTCTTCCCAGTACACCCCTTCCCAGGGGTAAGCGTGGACGATGGAATGTCCCTTGCTGAGTGGCCCTGGGCGACGCAGCCACCCTGGAATGAGCTGCCCCCCACGCTGCCCCGCGTGCAAACTGGCACTCACAGAAGCGCCTTTGTGCCATGGTGTGGAGCCAGCATGCTCGGGGTCTGAGGTCACCAGAGGGACCCTCACAGGACCCCCTTGTTCTCTGGGACAGGAGGGGTTGTGCAGCAGGGGGAGATGCTGGGCCATGGCTGCAAGACTCTGCTCCCACGCAGCTCACCCACCACCCGGCTGTTTTTGGCAGGGAGCGTTTCAGAGCAGAATAAAGAGCTCCGATGTGCGCACATATGGCGCGTGCAAGTGCCACTCACAGTCAGGCCACCAAGGCTTCAGGCAAGCCCACGTTGCTCGGCCTCCCTGAGGGGCTGCCTTGCACCAGCCAGCAGCAGCAAGCTGGGGCAGGCACCAGCTTCAAGAAGTCCCCAGCTCTGGCCACTGGAACCCAGCAGGATCAGCCTTACCCCCACTTCCAGGGCGGGGACCCAGCCTCTCAGGAGGAGCTCCCCTCCACCCTCTGCTTTCCACACTGTAACACAAGCTCCAGACCAAAGACCCACATCCACGGAATTATCCTTTCTGCCTCCACTCTGTATCCCATGCACTTATTATTGTCCTTATTATTAAAACAGTTTTGATACTAACTTCTCTGGTGCCTCCTCTTGGCTGCCGTGACCTTATCGTCTTCCTTGCTACATCTGCTGGTGGCCCAGCCACCAAATCCCATCCTCTTTACTCTCAGCAGGATTTTCCAGCAGCTCTGGGATCCCGGGATTAATGAGCCTGGTACTTTGTGCCCCTCTCTGGGGCACACATAAAGCAACATCTTATCCACCTGGGCCCATGTAGCACACAGAAGAGTGAAAAGCTTCCTGTCCAGCTCTGCAATAATTCATTTGCAGTCTGGAGCAAATCAGTACCCTTTCCAAAGCTGGCTCAGCTACACCTGTCCAGCTCATCAGACATCAGACATCCTCTGCCTGTTCACTCAGGCAGCAGCAAGTCCCTCCAGCTTGGGCAACAGGGAAGTGAAGAGGGGGGGCAAGGGCACTGCCACCTTCCCTTGGAACGGGTTCTCCATAACATCCTTTTCTACTCTACTGTCCTCCCACCCAGCCTACAGTGCCCCAGTGTTTGCTGACACACATCCATTTCACTTTAGGCTGGCAAGATACTTTTCAATTAGAGCAGAAGCATAAAATAATCAGGACTATTTGCCTGTAGTCCTGTGCAAGTGACACAGACTTGGAGGTGCTGAGCCACGTAATTCATCCCAAACCTCACTGCCTCCCCTTCCTCACTTTCCCTGAGTAGGATTTGCTGTGGAGGTGTCAGAGCAATGGGTAACCTGACTGGAATGTGCCAGCAGATAAAGTGAGGTGAGGTAAAGAGGAAAGTTGGAGGAGACACTCCCTTATCTATGGCAGGAATTCTGGCTGGGGGCACACCTGTGCTGCCCTCCCCATGCCACCTAACCTTTTAATTATGCTCTTTTGTGGCGCAAAATGCCACATCACTCACATCTGTGCTTTTATTCCCATTCTTCTATCCCTCCCTCACAAAAGCTCAGGTGCAGGAAGAAATGGAGCACTGTGAAGAGGTTACACAACCATTTCCCAAGCAATCCTATAGTGACCTCCTCCTCCTGAACCCTGCCTACATCCTGCTTTGGCTTATCAACTACCCCTTCAACCCCACATCCTCTTCTGACCTAGAAAGCACCTGGCATTATCTGGGAGCTATTTCCATCCAACAAGGACTCTTTTTCTGTTTATGGGAAAACCTTGGCCTTTCACAGAGGCTTACACAGAGGCAGACCCAAAGATCTCAGAGAAGACAAAGCAGATGGAGCAAGCAGTGTTCTACAGGCTTGGTCTTTTATTAGAGCTGGGAAGTGGCACCCGTCAGCTCAGCTTGAAGGAGGTGATCTTGAAGCCTCCCATGACGTTCATGTAGTTGATCTTGCGGTAGCTGTGCCGGTTGGGGAAACACACTTCATGCCCATCTGGTAGTTTCACACGGAATTTGTCTGTCAGCATTTCAATGAGGAACTGGAAGAAGAGAGGGGAGGAAGGGAATTGAGGACAAGGAGGGTATTCAGAGGTCAGCATCTAGACAAAAGGCCTGATTGAGAGGGTCAAACCTGTTCACTACAACCTTAATCAAGGTGCTGGGGGTTGAGCTGAGGGTGATTCAGGAAATGAGCAGTTTATATCAAGGGTCTAAGATGGTATACAAACAATGATCTGGGGACAGGATCTCTCCTGAGACTGTTTCACCTACTCAGATTGTAAACTCAGAGCAGTTAAACCCAGTGTCTTTACATGTCTTTAAGGAATGTATATGTACATGTACACATGGAATGTATATACCACTGTTCTGCTCTGAACAGGGCAGATTAAACCTGACCCCCCAGTGCCCTCAGCAGCTTACTGGAAGAAGGAACTTTACTGATAAACACACACAAGCAAACAGGATGAGAATGCATCACTGATCATTGCAAACCAAAGGGAATGTTCTCCAAAGCCACCATCTCACTACCCCCTCCCCAAGAGCCCATCATGCCTGAGGAAACAAGCTTTCTCTCCGCAGCAATAGAAATTGGACTTCTCCTAAATGCAGCCCTGTCAATGACTTGGGACATCAGATGGGGTGAGACAGCAACTAGGACAGCATCCCTGGCAGGAGAAGAGAGAGGACAGGTTGGCATCATGGATGCAGGAGTAATGATCCAGAAGAGCTGAGGGAGAGGTTTTTGGACTTTGCTCCAAACTCTGGGTTGCCTTAAAGCCTGTGTTTACAGAGGAGGAAATTGGAGATAGAAATAAGGTAGAGAGCAGCAAGATCCTGCTCACTGGAGACTCCTTTTACCTTCATACATGCCCCTGGTACACTCACCTGATGGGCAGGTAGGGGGGGCAGGAAGCACTTACAAAGCCTGACACAAACAGGGCTCACACAAAGTTCCCAGAAGCAGCACTGGGATTTTGAAGGAGGAGTGGGAATGACAATCAAGACCAAAAACCCAGAGGATGAGGGGTTGTTGTGAGGGAGCATGAAGTATTGGATGGGACTGGGAAAACCAGGGTATGGGAATCTGTTAACCAGGGGTTTCCCCCCACCACACAAACACCCCCAACACCCACCACAGACTCCTCACCTTGACAGTGCAGCCCCTGAAGAAAGAGAAGTGGCTGTCACGATGCTCTTTCTGCCACACGTTGGAGCATTTGGAGTTACAGACAATGACAGACTCATTGAAGCGGGGGTTGAAGTGAAGTGCCAGATCTTTCAAGCTGGAGCCAAGATTGATGCTGAAGCTGTGGATGAACAGCAGGAAGGTCAGCAGCATGCACAGGATAGGGTTTTGGAAGACTTGAGATCCAACACACATCTCTGCACCCAGTTCCTCCATCAGCGTGACAGGTGGTGGCATAGGGGTTCCCCTAACACAGATATGCTCACACATTTTGTATCTGGTGACCTCGGAAAACCACCTATCTCTACAGCCCACCATCAATCCTGGTAAATCAAAGTGGTTTCTTTGTACTTACCCATTAGTATCAGCGGATATTTTGCCCTTGATCTTCAGGGTGTTCCCAGGCTTCATATCGAGATTTAAGATTTCAAATGGATCCTAAGACAGAGAAAAATAGCCTGTGAGGCTCCTTCAGCCATTCTTCCTCAGCCCCCGTAAGTGAGAGGGTGCTGCTTGGAGAAGGTGCCCCAGCCAGGTGAACATCTACTGCTCTCAGCTGGTGCTCCTCTCATGGCCAAAACCCCTCCATGCTGGAGGTCTTGCATGAGCTTCTCTCACAGTGAGGGAAGAGTGGGCTGAGTGAAGCCCACAAGAGAGAAAATACATCAGAGAGAGAGGAGATGAAAACAGGCTTGTCCTCAGCAGAAAGAAAGGAAAGCATGACAGCAGAGGTACAAAAAGAGTTAAAGCACTACAGGGGCACTACACGGGGTTTGGTGGAAAGTCAGTGTTGCTCAAGAAATGCAAGTGGTGAGAGTGGCTGTGACCTGCCAGCCTCTCACTCAGCCTTGCTGAGTTGAGGACCCTGGGTGACAGAGGACAGGAGCAGCAGCCCTTACAGACATTTTCTTCAGAGGGTAGAGTAACCAGGCAGGGAGACACCAGCAGTTTAGCCTAGAAACGCTTTGCACAGAGAACTTTACATCCCTAGACTTCCTTGTGGCTTACACATTAACATGCCCCCTGCCTCTGCAAAGCTCCAGTGGGTGCTATTAAGCCAGAAGACTTTGATCCAAAGAAAAAGCTTCCTTATGTACACTTCTCATTAGGGACTTCAGGAGATTTAAGCAATTCCCAGCCTTCTTGGTGGGCTCCCAGTGGAAGGACTACCATGCACTGCCCCTAGAGATGCTACTTCAGACACCACACAGGACAAGCATCTTCCCAGCTGGTCATGGAGGTGTGACCACTATGTTCAGTCCTTTTCTGTGTGTAACAGCTCAGCCAAAAGAAGCATCCCAGCTCCTTCCTTTTGCGGCAGGGGGCAGCTCCCAAAATCCACACCAGTACACCAAAATGGTCTACACCATCCTTCCTCACAGTGCTCTGAGGAAGGGCTCAAAGGGGCTTGGAGGAGAGGGCAACCAACACGTGCCCTGTAGACGGCACAAGCTATGAACAGTCCTTTGCAGGAGTGACATAGTGGCATCCCAGCTCCTTCCCTTCTTGTGGCTCTAGATTCAGCCTCAGCTGCGTGGATCGCAACAGCAACATGTGGGACTCTCTGCAACCTCCCATCCAAGCCCCATCAAGACCTAAATCTTTTAGCCTGAGGAGCCATGTGCATAAGAGACAACAGAGCAGTATCACCCCCACTGTCTTCTTCCCAGGTAAAAGTTATGATGAGTCAATATCACAGATTTGTAAGTCTCCAAAAGTCAAGCAGAAAAAGGAGAGGGAGGAGAAGGTCAAGGCTCAGGAGACCAGCGGTCTCTCAGCCCCCCTCCCCAGCCCTGCAGAGAACAGCTGAGTGCAGTCATCCTGCTGCTGCACAGACAGCTGGTAGGCAGCTTCTGCCCTTCCCCAAAACATCCTGAAGCGAGAAGTGCTGATAAGCACTCCTTCCCCAGAGATGTTTCCTATGAGCAGGGTGTCATAAAACTCAGCAGCCTTGGGGAAATTGTTTGCTGTTGAGGACACTGAAACCATTGGTGAAATCTCCCTGGGCTGATTGTGGAACTAGCAGGAACAGGTGCTGGCAATGGTGTTTTCTGGCATTGGGTTTCTTTACCATCACGCTCTTGCATCCATGACATGCCTGTACACACTTTCACATCACCCTGCTCCCCTGCAGCCATCCCAGGGAGAACACAGAGCCCAGAGTCCCCTTGTCAAAATATTGGAGCATCCCACTGTCTATGAGAGGTTTCTCATTCCAGCAACTCACACTGCCCCTTTGCAGGGACAAGGGCAGTACAAAGACACTGTTTTTAACCCTCACAGTTAGTTATCTGAACTCCCTTTAAGCCAGTATGGAGAAACAAACCCTTCTACAGCTCAAGAGGTTACATCCCAAGACAGAACCTAAACTCAGACAGAAAACTCCTGTCCTACATTGCTGTCCAAAGTGACACATGGATGTCATGGCAGAGACGAGACCCAGAACCCAGGCCAGCAAGGTAGAGGAGTCTTCCCCCCAAATTCCCATACAGACCAGAAAGAAACAATGCTCTCACTAGGATTTATCCAGTAATCCCACTAACCCCACTTCTTGTGCTTGCACGGTTATTCACTCCTTACGTAACATAACATACCGTTGTGGAACTTTGACCTGAGAAGTATCAGTGTAGGTCCTGCCTCCCAAGGCCAGAACCGAAACCTTGTTTCCTCTGTGGTTTGTGCAAAGGCACCCATCACTTTTTTCCTGCAACAAGTTTTGCATATACTGCGAAGTTATTAACCCTTTCTTTATACCACCCCGGGACTAAACATCAATCAGCCGTCATTATCTTCAATCGTTGTCTTTGTCCATAGCGGTAATGTGCTCGTAGCAGACAGAGGGAGAAAAGAGGGATGAAGCAGAAGGGATAATGCAAGAAGCCGTACACTGAACAACTGCAATTGCAATCATTTATCCACCAAGTAAATCTATAGGTAATACTCCTGCCCTGCTGGGTATTTCTATACACCACAAAAAATAACTTTTAAATATATGGTGCTTCATAATAATCGAGTTGTTTTAGCAGATGAAAAATGGGATCAAAAGGGAAATATTGACAAGAAATCTTACTAGTCGGGGATTTGGGGATTTTGTACATCCCTGGTAATAGCAGACTTCCCCTGATCATCCCAGGTAGGTCAGTCTCTTCAGAGTTTAGTGAGGAGATGGCTTCTGGGTGTGATGCATTACTCTTATTCCAACCCTGAAGTCCCTCTGTGTTATTATAGTATGCAAAATATGTATCATTAAGTCCCACTTGGTGTGGGAACCAGGGGCATTCAACAACCACAGATATTCCCCCAATTAATAGGTAATGGGCCCTCCATTTCAAAGGTAATTTACTCTCTAACCACCAAGGGGTAGGTACCAGAATATAAGACAATTTCTGTAGTTGGGGTTCACTTAAATTGACTGGTAGATCTGTGGGTGTTACAAAAAATCTTAGGCCCTACTCTGCTGATGTAGGGAAAGCCACACTAATTCCTTGGTCTGTTTGGTTCCGAAAACACATAAATTCCAAAACTAGTTCCCACGTGAGGTTAACAGAATTAGCACTTCCATCCCCTGGGGTTGATTTCTCCGTTTCAGCGGCGGACGTACATAATGATATACATAACAGCACAAACATGCTAGCATCATAACTATTCCTACTAATAGAAAACCAAAACATATTATGGCATAAACTACAGCAGGAATTCCCTCTTCCTCCTTTCAGCACCTGGCCTTTACCTTTAAAAGATCAAATAAACAACTCGGCTCAGCTTTGAAGCAGTTCAAAAGGATGGAATAATCCACTGAGTATTAATTTTATGTTTCTTATTGTGATTATCTGCAGCTACCCAGGCACACTTATTCAGTGGACTTTTTTAAATCAGTAGCGTTTCGGTACTGATGATGGGAAAATTGAATGGCTGGCTAAACTGCACAGTAATTTGTTTTTTATTTGGGGAGTAAGGATTTACTATCTGTAGGATATCCCAGGTATTCCACAGTCTTCGTACAAATACCCATTGGAAGCGAGTCTTCTACAGATTTAGGTGAAAGCAAGCAAGCAGTAATCACTTATTTTCATTAAGCATAAACATATTAAACCAAGGCATATCTTTTCAACACAGATTATAAATGCCACACTTGTTAACCTTAATTAGTTAAATTTGTAAAGAAAACTTACAGATACATACACAAATTAAAACCCTCCAAAATATTCTACACATAAAAGCAAGCAATCCCTGTGAACACTTGGAGTTGGTTTAAGAGAATCCTCATCTCTAGGCGTGATTTCTAACATGCAGGATACCTGTAACCTGGAAAAACCATAGAACACAATTGCTTGGTCTCTGCCTAACCAGTGAACAGTGGGTTAAAAGGAGGGCACTATCCATCTGATACTAATCTGATGGATTTTTCCAGAACTATCTTTTACTTCCCAAGGGTAACACAGAAAGCTTTAATTTTGTGACCAACTCGTCACAATCTGCAGCAAGGGGTATTTTTAATCTAATCAAATCGTGGTTTAGATTTTGGCTTTGGTGTGGTGGTATACATTTGACACACTCACTAGGGGGTTTCAGGTGTCTTCCCAGAGGTTGCTCCAACCCATCCTATATAGCACTCATGATTCACTATTTCCCGGATGAATTCATACCGAGTAGGCATGTGAATTTGGTCTCTAGGTGGTTTTGCTGTTGCTGCAGCAACATTCATGACCTTGGGCATCAGATACAAACATCTGCAGGCTATCTGGAGGGCCACAAAGGAGAGGAGTTAATCTGGCCAGATCGATGGGAGCTACCATAGGAGATTGCCTTAATTGATGTCTTTCTTACATTGTTTGAATACATCCTGCCTTTTGCACAGAGGCTGCCAGATCTGTAGTCTTAACAGTAGTAGGCTTTCCTCTGTCCTGTGGGTCTATGCCCCCAGCCCCCTAAGCAGCTCCTGCAGTCAGTGAGTAGTTATGGTTACTTGGAGTAGCAGTTAAAAATACTTCTGCCTCTTCTTCACTCAGCAAGGTCTGGTCTCTCCTGTAAGGGAAACTCACCGCACATACTCAGGTTATGATTTCCCTGGACATCTGGAATATTTTTCCTGCAATTTACCTAACTCTGTGGGGGACCAGGGAACAGTACGAACAGTAGTGTGGGCTTCTCCATCCCCCTCATCAGCAGTTTCAGTTTTAATTAAAGGCTGAACTCTTACTAGTGCTGGGATAGGGGCAAGGTCTTCCTCTAAATCATCAGCATTGTTCCAAATGTCCCCATCCCATGTTTTGGGATCCTCACAACGTGCCATCCTATGGATGTGCTGGAATGAATTAGAGGATGATTTGTGTGGGATTTTATCAAGTAACTTACCTAGATTTTCCTGCAGTTGTTTTTCTCGTCACTCAGCCACAGTCAGCAGTTTTTCTAATTGCTAATTTTTTTATTTAGAAAAATGTCTACTAGCTTTTCCAATTTCTCCCATGTCTCTTTCTCAAAAGACAATGATGTTTTAAGAACCTAATTTTCTGACTTCAAAGTCATATACTGCTTCTGCAACTCTTTCAGGTGGGGAGGAGCTTTTGATTTCATTTTGCATGCAAGATAAACAAGCAACCAAAACTGCACAAATAACTTACCTTTAATGCGTAACTTACCTTTTCCTCTTCCCATTTTTTGTTTGGCAGGCAAACTAATAATGAGATCAGCTATTGCCTGTACATCATTTCAATTAGTTTGTGCCCATTCCAACCCCAGGGGAGAGGGGCGACTATCAGACTTCTCCAGGAGAGAGAGTAAAACATAAGGCTTACACTGATCAGCCAGGGTAACCAATTTTCTTCAGTCTCTCTCAGAGGGAGACAATTTGTAACAGTAAAAGTTTGGTCAATCTCCTTCAGAGAGAGACAGAGCCCATCAGGCAGAAAGAAGAACAGTAAAAGTTCTGAACTGTTAAACAGCACTTTGGGTCAGAGAACAGTATATCCTATCTGTGATGCCAATTAAAACGTTATGATTTGATGTTAAAGTCCTCTGCCCGAATTAGGGTGCAAATGAGCCCAAATGCCGGTTCAACAATGCCAACTTTATTTTACAAAATTCATTGTATAGAGAAAAGAGAAAGAGAGAGGAAAAAGGAGAGAGATAATCTAAGTAGAAGATAGTCACCTCCATGGATCCAGCAACATCCCGTTGATCCTTCAGTGCCCTGGGCTTCTTGGTAGTGGGGTCCCAACCAGTTCCCTCTGAGTCATTTTTATGCAGTCCCTTATTTGGGTGAAAAGCGAAGGTACAAGTGACTTTCAGTTCCTCATTCACACGAGAGACAAGAGCAGGCGTGGTTTCAGTGATTTCTCCAGGGTCTATTCTGGGGGCAAGACAAGTACCCCAAAAATCAAGTGTCCTACTGGTGACCCCACTCACTGCGCTTGTGCAGTTATTTGCTTGTTAAATCCCATACCGCAGTGAAACTTTGACATGAAAAGCAGGGCCAGAAACAAAACCCAGTTTCCTCTGTGATTTGTGTGTAGGCACCTATGCACCAAGTTTCACCAGCACGACTGTTTAAGGCATATATTGCAAATGTCATTAACCCTTTCCTTACAGCTGCCCAGGAGGGAGAGCAGCATGTGTCTTCTACTTTGTCCAGTTCTGGGCTCCTCAGGACAAGAGAGACATGGAGCTTCCAGAGCGGGTCCAGTGGAGGGCTACTAAAATGACTACCAAAGTGGAGCATCTCTCTTACAGGGAAAGGCTGAGGGGACAAAGCCTGTTCATCCTTGAGGAGAGATGACTGACAGGGGACCTCATCGATGTGTATGAATATCTAAAAGGGGCATGCCAAGAGGATGGAGCCAGGCTCTTCTTGGTGGTGCCAACCAATAGGACAAGAGACAATGGGTAAAAACTGATGCACAGGAAGTTCCACCTGAATGCGAGGAAGAACTTCTTTACTGTGCAGGTGACCACGCCCTGGAATGGGTTGCCCAAGAGGTCACAGAGTCTCCCTCACTGGAGATATTCAAGAACAGTCTAGACATGATCCTGTGCCATGTGCTTTATGACGGGTCTGCTTGAGGAGGGAAGCTGGACCAGATGAACCCCCTGTAGTATGCTCCAACCTGACCCATTCTATGATTCTGTCTGAGTGATGAGGAAAACTACCCACACAGAGAGTTACGCGCAGAGCTACAAGTACCACAGATGTGAGAATACGCCAAGAGGGAGACGAGCAGGAAAGAGGCATGAGCTGCTCAGAGAGGGGCCATGAGATTTTATCAAGATTACATTAACCCCCCTCTTACAATGCTCAGCAGGGGCGTTCACCCCCCTTTTATTTGCCACTGGGAACAATAGTGGGAAACCAGGCAGCAACTCTGCCAGCGCTGGCGACTTCCTTCATCTGCTGAGTTGAGCCTCCACATTGTCAGACACCAGCCCTGTGCTGATGGCCACTCTCATGCCAGGGGTATGTGCTCCCCACATAGGAAGGGGATGAGACTTTAGGGACCCCAGAAGAGCCAAACTTCTCCACTGCAGTTGGAGGTGGCAATTGGGATGATGAAAGGAGGGTGGAAGGGGCAGGTTGATACTTCCCTGCTGACACTGCAAAGCAGAAAGCCTGCGGAAACAATGATAGCATGGGAATGTAAA